AGGTTATTTGTGTGTGTGTGTGGGGGGGGGGGGTGTCACAAGCCTTTAATCCCAGCATTCAGAAGGCAGAAGCAGGTGGATCTCTGTGAGTTCAAGGCCAGCCTGGTCTACAGAGTGAATTCCAGGACAATCAGGGTTACACAGGGAAACCCTGTTTCAAAAAATGTAATTCAGTAGATATTATGACTTTTACATAACAAGATGGACATCAGAAACAAATAGCAACATCCTAAAGTGGACTTGGCCCTTTGATACTTTTAATTTTTATTTGATTATAAGCCTAGTAGAAGTTATTCTATATATTGTTACTTTTTATAAAAGGTTACTTTTCTTGCACTGTTACCAAATACCTGATAACAATCAGTTTAAGGTAGGAAGAATTTAATTTGGCTTGCAGTTGGAGGGAACATAGTCCACTATGATAAGGAGTGGTAGTGGGCAGGCTGGTGGTAATGGGAGCACCAGGCATCTTATCCACACCTTACTGGATCAGGAAACAGAGATCTTGGGCTAGAATAAAGACCCGGTTATAACCAACTAGTTCTGCCCTTACGGCTCTGTGTCTTCCAGCTAGGCTCCATGCCCAAAAGATTTTACAAAATAGCACCATGAGATAGGAATCATGTGCTTAAACATGTAAGCCTGCAGAAGACATTTCACATCTAGACCATCACGCCTCACCTCTAGCCTCCATTAGGTGCCCCCCCCTTTTTTTTAAAATATTTATTTATTATGCCTGCAGGCCAGAAGAGGGCGCCAGACCTCATTACAGATGGTTGTGAGCCACCATGTGGTTGCTGGGAATTGAACTCAGGACTTTTGGAAGAGCAGCCAGTGCTCTTAACCACTGAGCCATCTCTGCAGCCCCTAGGTGCCCTTTTGAAATGCCAAATGTATTCAGTATAACCCTTACAGTCACCATAGTCTCACAGTTCCAACGAAATCCCAAATTCCACAATCTCTTCTGAGATTCAAGACAGTCTCTTATTTGTGGACCCCTGTAAAACCCAAAGACAAGCTTTATATTTCTGACATTAAATGGTACTGAGTAAACATGCCAGTTTCAAAAGGGAGCATAGGAGTACGACAAGGAAGGACTGGGGCAAAGCAAGACTGAAGCGCAACAAGGTAAATCCAAACCCTTGTACCTTCCCGCCTCACATCCAGGGCTCATGGTGACATCACGACAGTGTCTGTTGTGTTTGCAGTGACATCATAAGAATGTCATACTCTAATGCTATATGGCCTTGAATCAGAATCCATTATTTCTGAATCTAGTCTCACTCAAAACTTTAGAATCTGTGTAGAATGTTTTGACAGAATGTAACAAGAATGGCTTCTAGTCTGTTCCTAACAGAGTCCGTGGTCACTTCTACAGTCCTGGGGTCTGGACCTTTGTTGTCTGCAGGCTTACATGTTTTGTTTTTCCAAACTCTTGCCGTAACAGTTCACATGGCTCTCCTTATAGCCTTCTAAGACTTCTCTAGCCTACACTCCAAACTCATCCATAGTCTTTCTTTAACTAGGTCTTAAGGCCCAAGGTCTGTCTTATCAGAGCAATGGCCCCACTTCTCAATATTAATTTTCTGTATTAGCTATCTTCCTCATTGCTATAATCAAACACCCAATGGGAAACAACCTAAATGAGAATGGATTTGTTCTAGCTCATGGTTTGAGGGGATGCAGTTCAGCATGGCTGGGGAAGCTTGGTCAGGAAGATTGAAGGTGGTGGGAGTGCTGGGGAATCTGCTCACATTTCAGCAGATCAGAAGGCAGAGACTGGATCAGAACTAAGTGGGTTTTATAATCATCTACCCTACCCACTCTGGCCTTGTATCTGTCAACCGGACAGATAACAGAAGGTTCTACAGCCTTCTAAACCACCACCAGCTGGAGATCAGGCAGATGAGCATATGACACTTGACATCCAAACCACAACACATTCCTTTCTGCAATGTGTCTTCCGTGAAAATGAGACCAGTTCACAGAGACAGCTGTCAGCCACCAGGAACTCCAAGTGCCACACTTTGGAATCAGGACACTTGACAGTACAATCAGACCTGGGTAAGCATTAGAGGCAGCTTCTGCTCTGGTTCCCCAGCCTTTTGCTCTTTCCTCATAGGTCTGAATGTTGTCTCTAAAATAATTTCCCTCTGAGAGTCATTCCACCCCCGTCTTCCCTACTGCGGCTGCTTCTCGGGAACTCTCTGGCTTGGCTTGTCTCAGTCTCTGAGGGCATGGAGGGGGATTTATGTCCTTTTGTTTGGCAGACAGCTATAAACATGGATATGACTTGCTGAATGCACACAGGTGGGGGTAGGGGAGCCATAGAGTACCCCAATAGAGCCTTCCCAGCCCGCGTAAAGCAGCACTGGACAGCTGTTACTGCCTGTGCTCTGTCCAGTGGAAGTAAGGAGGAGGTGGCACTTTATTTAATGTTCCTGGGTGGGTGGCTGGGGTGGCAGGGAGAGAGAGACCAATGCTCCCAGAGTCCTGGCTCTCTTCTCCATGTGCTCCTGGCTTTTTTTGCAGGAAGGAACAACTCTGTCTCAGGCACAAACTAGGGGTTTATGAACTTGGTTCATAGGATTCTGTTCTGTGGGGCTGAGTCAGTCCAGGGGGGCTGAGTGTGTCTGAGTTCAGATCCTGAGGTTCTGGGCTGCAGAATAAAGTGTGGGACATAAGATATCTGTGGGGGTAGCATCACGCCTGTGCTCCATACTCCACTCTTCCCCCGACACCCAGGATGCCAGCGGGAAAGCCTCCGTCTTCCTATCACCTTTTTACATTCTTCTCTCATCCCTCCCCACCAACGTCCAGGTGTGTAAGTTCCCTGACAAATACAGAATCCCAGTCCAGGTCCACTCTTGACACAGAAGACTCACTCAGTGTTTGTTGAATGAATAACCGTGGTCATTTCATTCCTCCCTGAAGCCCCAGCACTGCCCTCAAGCCCAAAGGCAACTCTGAGACTCTCTGGCAGGATGACAAAGCATGCCCTCCCCCTTAAGGCAGATGATTCTCTGTCCTAAACCAGTCGCCAACCAGTAAGTGCACCAAGGAATGGGAAAGATGACAGAGGTCACAGAACTCAGAGGTGCTTGTGAGATCATGCAGCCCAGATCTCTCATCTTACAGATGAGAAAATAAGACTTAAACCCTCAACTTTCCCATACTACCAGCACCCAGGAGAAGAGCCAGTTAATTCTTAAAATCTACCCATCAGCCACCTCTCACCAGAAATGCTAGCTGATGTGGGTCCAGCTCAAGCCTGGGTTCTTCAGTTGCCAGATTAATCCCTGGCCCGGTCTTCCGCAGCACAGGCTGCAGCAGCAGGCCCAGGTCTGAAACTCTTATCTCCCAGTGACTCATCCACCCCTACCACACCAGGTCACCTGGGAAGAGTGACAGTCAGTGTGACCTGGATTGTTCAGCACAAAACCCGCGTCCTGGATGCTCCAGATCAAATGTGGGCTTGGTACTAGAATGCTGGCCCAGTCGCATGGGGATGGGGGTGGCAGAAGAAGACAGACAAAGCCCATAAGGGAAACAGGGTCACTTTTGTCTCCCCAGCGGAGAGAGACAAATCACCTGGGAGTGAGAGCCAGCTGGACAGAAGGAAGTTAGTGGAAAGGAATGAGAAAGTTAGTGGAAGGAGAGGAAAAGACAGAAGGCCAAAGATGGGACATGGCAGAACACGTGGTCTTTCCCCTCCCCCTCAGTTGCATGGCATGTTCTGGGTACCTGTATCATTTCCTGGGCATCATTTCAGGACACACCACCTAACAGGGCTGCCAGGACAGGGAAAGGGGAGCTGAAGGGAGGAGAAGGAAAGAGAGCGAATGGGAATTGCGGGAGCCGATTAGCTCTCACTATTCTTTTAGGTGTGCAAGCTCAGGCCTCAGCCCCACAGTCTCCAGAGAGGCAAGGGTAGGGCATTAGTTCTGCATAGCCAATGCTGCTCAGGGATGCCCGAGAGCCTTCGGACAGGGCTCAGTTCTTGCTGCCCTATCTGTGTTGAGATGACACTCCCCCATCCCCCATCAGTGACTTCAGAGTGTGCAAGGCTATAAGTTCTCCCAGACCACGAGGTGTGCCAGGATGCCCAGTCTCATTCTCAGGGAGCAACTGGTCCATCTGCCATAGCAAACCCTACCCTATCACAGGATGTGACACAGAGCTGTGCTATGTCAACTTTGCAAGAGTGCCAGGACTGCTCCGTGACCAGAGGTCAGCTCTTCAATTATCCATCCAGCACTGGTCACAAACAGTCACAGTGACCCTCCACTCCTCGGCCCCTTGTCCCTCTCTCTGTAGCTCTTTCCGGAGCAGGAACAAGGATGACAGGCTTTCCCAGGGGCCTAGAGTAGAATTTATGGACCCTCTTTACCTTTCCCAGGGGAGAGGAGGCCCCAAGTTTCTGTGGTTCTTAGCCAGAGAAGTGCCACCCCTGTCCTCTGGAGATGCAGTTTCTGAGTAGTGCAAAGCCCAGCATAGTTAAGGCGGTCCCTGGAGCCCTCACCCTAGCCGTTTACTGCAGTTATGGTATATTCGTTGGTATATGGTAATTTCGTTGGTTAATTCATGTTTATGGACTCAGTATTTCCGTGTTTAATAACACTCATTTCAGCCTTGTTTTCTCCATGTTTTGCCTCTACTAATATGAAAATGAGCCCTGGCACGGGAATGTTCTGGGCTTCTGGGACAGGTGCTGAGAGAAGGTCGGCTAAGGGGCCATTCCCCCAGAAGTGGGCCTGAGCAGCACAATTCATTAATTATTATTTATATCCCCTCCCCACTGTTTCTCATGCCCAAGGGTGTCCCTGGAGTGTCCAAAGGCTCCAGGCGCATCCTACCACCAAATGAAGGACTGGATCTATAGCCACTCGGTTGACTATAGGAAGCTGGAGCAAGGATTCCCACCTCGGAAGAAACCATGAGACTCCTTGGGTCCAGGGGTATGAAAGGAGGGAGAGTGGGGGTGTGTCGTGGGCACTCACTCCAGCACGTCGCGGTTGAACTGTCTCTTGCTATTGCCCAGGAACTCTCCTATCATCTGGCGGCTCAGGCCTTTCCGCTGGAGGAGGAAGTGGGCCACGCCGATGGGGGTGTCAGGGATGAAGCCACGTGAGATCAGGAACTGGATGCCCTTGTCCGGGTTTCTGTAGAGAAGTTGGAGTGGGGAGGAGAGAGGAAGCCAAGGCTTTTTAAGGCTGCTGTCCTGACTCCTTTCACCCTGGGGAATCTACTTCCCAGGGATCACTAGGGCTCCCCATGGGAGCAACAGTCACCTCAACATCACACGGGGGTGGGATGGGGAACGGGGACAGGAATAGGGCTTGAAGGGAGAAGAGGTCTGACTCAACAAGAATCCATAGCAAGTAGCGAGGCTCCCTTCTCTGTCCCTTCCCTAAGGCTCTGGACAGTCCCTAGAGCCCCTAGGGGGTGCAGGAGGTGCTTCCTCCAGTCTGCACCTCAGCTGCTCCTGGAGCTGGATCTCACTGGATCTGAGGAGATAAATGAGCCCTAGAAACCTTTTCTCAAATGCTTGACATTTTCAGGACATCAAGCCTGTGGCTGCTTTCCTAGCAATTCATTTGTATTGTGTTTTGCAAAGGTACCAGCCCATATACAGGAGGAGGGGATGGAACTGGCTCTTCACTAAGGATGGACTGGGAATCACTGTCTTGAAGGATGAGAGTTTCTGATTTCATGTGCATCAGGTGACAGCCTGACCTACAAAAGAATGGACGACTCTGGCTACGCCCAGGTTTACCTCTAGCTAGAGGTTGAGCAGTGTGCAACCTCCCTCCCTCTTGTGAGCCTGGTTGCTAGTCTGTAAAACCGGAGGATGTTCTCTGTCTCTAGATGCTGCTGGGAGGATTGCAGGTGAGCTAGGAATGGCTGGACATGAGCATCTTGAGGCCAGGGGCCGTTTTACTCATCTATCCAGTACAGGCCTGGCATGCAATCAATGATAGTTGTATGACTAAATGAGGGCAGGAAATGATTCCTGCCCCGGGGCAGAGCTAGGAGGGAATGGATGAGGAGGGTAAGTAGTGTCGCGTGGACTTTCTGTCTCACAGGGAGGGAGAGAGGGGTCTGTTTCCTCTGTGTCACCTGCAGCGTGTGTTCTTGTTGCATGGAGTCCTGTTTGGGTCTCTGAGTTACGGTAGTCATTAATTTCCCTCTTTCCATTCCTCAATCTCTTTCCTATCTCACTTGGTTCTCGTCCTTCCTGTCTTTCTTTCCTCTTAGCTACTCCTCTATCTCATTAAAAATATTTAAAAATAAAATTTTAGTGTGGGAGAGGGAATGCCTTCACAGGGGGTCAGAGGACGGCTCCCGGGAGACACCTTTCTCCTTCCACCTTTGTGGTTGTTCTGGGAGGCAGAGCTCAGGTTGCCAGGCTTGCACAGCAACCACCTTTACCTGAGCCTTCTCAGCAGGGACTCTACCTCATTTTCACACTGTCTCCCCCTCTCCGCCACTTCCTCATTTTGGGACCCCAGTGTAATAACACTGTTTTCCTAACTTCATTTTCATCTTCAACGATTCCTGCGTGTGCTCAACCTGTATTTTCCCATTTTCCAAACCATCTCTTCATCTTAAAAAACAATTGTGAAAAACCTATGCTTGATGTGTTTGTCCTCGGGAAAAATATAGTATGTACTTCGTAAACATTCCCTGGGAGCTCTGGCGAGGGGTTTCAGCCCAGGCACAAACTGCTCTGAAGGACCCAGAGAAGATGCTGTCAGGTCTTGGTACCCTGCAAGTTTCCCCTCGGTCCCTCCCTCCGGTCCTTCTGGGGACCCCAAGGTCACTCACATGTTGAAGAGGTTGAGGCCAATGCGGTAAAGTCGTTTGCGCAGGGTGTCGGTGGAGAGAGTGGGGGACCTGCAGCTGGCTGGGTTCTCGCAGTGGTAGCGCGGCAAGCTTAGGATCACCGCCTGCAGGGCCTCCTTCGAGGCAGCAGCAGAAACCTCTGAGCCAGATTTGGCGGATTTGGTGGATGCGCTGCTACTGCTCAGCTGCTCAGAGTTTTCGCCCGCATCGGCCCCTTTCCCTGACTGCCCGGCCTCTTCCTCTTCCCCCGCTGCTTCCTCGGCCACAGCCTCCTCAACCACGGCCTCCGCAACCACCTGTTCATGTGCGCCCTGGGCTGGGCTCTCCACCACTTCTGAGTTCTCACCCGGGGGTTCCTCCTGTTCCGAGGCTGGGGCTTCCGAGACCTCCTGAGCCGCGGCATCCCCCTGCTCAGTTTGATTGGTCGCTGGCTCAGCTGTGGCCTGGGTGGTCTGTGCGCCCAGACAGTTGGCCACAGACAGGGCAGTGGAGGAGGAAACAGAGATGTTCTGGTTAGCGATCTGCACCGTGACATCCCGGAAAGCCATCATGAGGGTACCGCTGTGACCCTGCGGCAGGCCGCTGGCCTCATCTCCAGACCCTGGGCTACTCTCGGGCTCCCGTGCCTCGGCTTCCAGGCTTGGCTGTCCCGCACTCGGGTTCAGGGCCTGGTGGAGCTGGTACGCGCCACTCTCTTGCAATGAGCACATGGTCTTGAGACTCCAGGTGCTGAGGGCGTCGTCGATAGACTTGGCCAAGGACTGCACCTGTTCGGTGAAGGAGTCCTCCAGCTCGGTGAGCGACCCTGCGAAGGTGGGTGGCAGGGAGGGCGAGCGCCCCAGCGGCAGCCCCAGTAGTCCACAGCCCTCCAGGAGCGCCTTCTCCGCCACCAGGCTCTCTGCTGTGGGCGCCCGCACTTTGCGCAGCGAGATCCGCCGGGGCAGGCGGCTTTCCAGGAGCGAGTTACGGATCTTCTCAAAGTTCTTGCTGAGCTGGTACTGGCGGAAAGCGGTTTGGATGGTGCACGCGGCGCGGCGGGATACCAAGTGGCCCCCGTATTTGTGTTCTAGCATTTCAATCTGAGCAGAGACAGAGAGAAAGGCTCAGTCAGGGAAGGTGGAAGTAGTATGGATTAGATCAGTACAGCCCACCACAGTCCCCGGTGCACAAGGTGGCTTTACTGGGAGAAGACTCCAGACCAGGCAAGCCTGATATGCCAAGTCCTTAGCAAGACTCCTAGAGGCAAGATGGAGGAATACACTCGGGTTTGGGGAGGTTCCTTGTGGCAGTGGACAGAGGTGCTGGGATGGAAGTCCCGTTTATCTAATCTCCTAATTATTAAAGAACATTTACATCAGAGATGCATGTAGAAGTATTTCCCGAATTGCAATTGAAATTACGTAAAATGCACTAGCTAGCATGATATTAATATTAAGAAAACATTAATAAAGACCGTTGGAGCTTGGTGATGGTTGTATGGGAGTTTATTATATTGTTGTTTTCTGCCTTAATGCATAATTAAAAATAATTAAAAATGAAAAATTAAACAATGATGTTAAGATCAGTCAATCAAACAAAAAACAAAACTCTGGGCGCTCACTTCAGTGCATTGGGGTGCTTCTGTTTTCCCGGGAGTACCAAAAGCATGGCATCTGGGTTTGATCGTCTTTGCGAGGCCAGTCCCCGGTCCACATTTGGGCACGTGGGAAGTGGTCAATAAATGTGAATGTTATGAGGACAATGGCCCAAGAGCAAGCTCCCCTCCAGGGAGCATGTTTCAAATCACAGTTGTATTGATAGGAGCTGTGTAGCAAGGGCCTCACCTGAGCATCGCTCACCGGAGCATCGCTCCTGGCATTCCCGTGTTCAGGGTTTTGCCTCCCTTCCTTCAGTTCTGCCCTCCATCTCTGCCCCCCGACCCCCAGCCCCACTTAGGTTGCTATGTTCTTGCTTTCTCTACTTTATCAAAACTTCTCAAGAAAGGACTAGGGGGGACATTCCGCCCCACCCCACCCCCGGAAATGACTGACCATTGAACCATGCTCCTTGAAGAGCTTTGACTTTAGCCAAAGGGCCAGGCTGAAACTAAGAAGATAGGCTTGATTAGTATCATAGGCTCCTCGGTAAGCTCCTTGAATCTGTAGGAGTGAAAATGTGTACCCTGTCTCTGAAATTATGCCCTTCACTTATCCTTACCCTCGGCTTGCACACTCTCCTTCTGGAGCTAAAAGTCTGGATGAATGGACAGAGAGTAGGAGAGTCTCTAGGGCACTGACATTCCCACGTTCTCTGGGGATCTGGATGGGGGTGAGGCTGGGGGGAGCACAGGGGGGAGCACAGGTGGATTTGCCGTCTATGAAGCGGATGGAAAGGCAAGTCTCTCCCTCAATGCAGCACTGTAACTGGCTTCCTGATCTACTCAGCCCACCAAAGTCTGTGTGTGAGAGGGTGCAGGCTCTAAGCATTAGGAGGAAGCACTACAGTGACATCGGATCCCTGGGTTACAGGGGAGTCTTCAAGGCCATTTTAAAAAGCATATCAGAATGGACTTGGGGATGTAGCTCAGTGTCAGAGGCCTTGTCTAATTTGTGTAAGGCCATGGGTGTCACCCCAACACAGTTTTAGAAAGACTCATACCAAGTATCTTGTCTCTCAAATTACCAAACACTCAGAATAGCACATGCTTATTTTCTCGGGTTCTTCACATCTGGACACAGTTCAACTGGGTTCTCTGGGAAGGGACCTGCCCACCTGGGGCAAGGCTGCATCCCTGTTCTAGGCTTCAGTAGGCATGCTAGAGTTCAGCCCTGAGAACCCACAAAGCCATGATCTTCTTTTCTGCCTAGTATGATTGATGCGTGCAAGAGCCGGAACAGATCCCCGGGGCAGAGAGCGAGGTTTCTTAGAGGTACCCGTGGAGCTACATAGAGAAACCAAGTAGCTACCTTCCAACTGTGTGGTAGGTGGAATTCCAAGATGTTCCCAATGAGTCTTCATCCTGTGGTATATAATTCCCCCCCTTTGAATTTGAGGTGGTCTTATTAATATGATAGACATTATCCCTGCGAGCTTCCAGTATATTAGAAACCTATTTCCAACCAAGTGACTGTCAGTTAACAAAAGGGAAATCATCCTTGTGGAACACTTAACTATGTAAAGATGCGTTATATTTGCTTATGATGTGGAATATGACTTTAACTGTGTAAGGATGTGTTACATTTGTGTTTGCTGCATATCTTTAATCATGTAAAGATGGGCTGTATTTGTTTCACTTTGCCAGCCTAAGGTACCTGAGAGGTTTAATAAAATGCTGACTGGCCAGTAGCTAGGCAGGAGAGGGATAGGCAGGGCTGATGGGAAGAAAGAATAAATAGAAGAGAAGAAAGAAGAGGGTGAAAAGAATGAGAAAGAAAGGAAGGAGAAGAGAATGGGGGAGAAAGAGAAGGACACCTCCAGGATCAGAAACCAGGCAGCTGCCAGCCAGCCAGACACTGGAGGAGGCAGGAAAATAAGATGTACAGAAAGAAAGGCAAAAGATAGACAAAGAGAAACAGGTTAATTTAAGTTAAAAGAAATAGCCAGAGGGGGCAAGAGAGATAGCTCAGAGGTTAAGAGCACTGATTGTTCTTCTAGAGGTCCTGAGTTCAATTCCCAGCAACCACATGGTGGCTCACAACCATCTGTAATGAAATATGGTGCCCTCTCTGGCCTGCAGGTATACATGCAGACAGAACACTGTATACAAAATAAATAAATAAATCCGAAAAACAAAAGAGCTACCCAGAAATGAGCTTAAGCTAGGCTGAGCATTCATAACTAATAAGAAGTCTTTGTGTCATGATCTGGAAGCTGGTTGGTGTCCCAAAAGAAAAAGCCTGGTACAGTCCTGGTGGGTCTGATGCAATTGGGTAAACCTTTTAAAATAAGGCACAACTTAGGGTATATGATTTCCTGTGTGCCCCAAAGGAAGAAATTGTCATGTTGTAGAGAATTAGATGAACAGTACCCCTTTATCCCCGTTTTTAAAATCCTTTCTCAATGACCATGACAAACTCACTGAAGGTCCAGACTTTGTATCTCTTTCCCACTGGTCCATTTCTACTTCCTGGAGAAACCAAGACCCAAGAGTGTCTTGGCAAGTGATAGGATTCCATAAACAACTGAAAGAAGATACCTAAAAAGAAACCCTTTACCTAAGATAGTTCCAAGACGGTAAAGAATCTATCTGCTTGGTATAGCATTGCACTGGGTAGATTTTCTTTTCTTTTTTTCAACTTGACACAATCTAGGGTCATCCAGGAAGAGAAAACCTTTACTGAGAAAATGTCTCCATCAGATTAGCCTGTAGGCAAGTCTTTGTGTGTGTGTGTGTGTGTGTGTGTGTACCATTGAGTTTTATTGGGGTTACTGACAAGGACAGAAATAACTTAAAGACAGGTGTATCATCAAAGCCCACCCCAGCATGGACGACAGCTCACAGAGCTGGAAACTTAAGTACTCTGCACAGCCTGCTGGCAGCACAACAAACTGGAGAGCATCCTCTCCAGCTGCCCCTGGTCTAAACCTCTTCCTGGTAGCCTGGTTGGTTTCTGCTTGGTACAGGCTAGCTGGTCTGGTCTCAAAAGTCTCCCTGGCAGCTTGTCTTGTCTGAGTGACTCCCAGCATTCTTGTGAGAGTGCACGGGAGCTAGAGGCGTAGTGAATCTGCTCAGTTTCAGGGACTTCCTGAAACTATCTTGAGTTGTTTACCTTCTGTTTTAGGGAACTTTCCTAAAGGATAGAATGTTTTAATCTTGGAGGAACCTTATACAGCAGGGTAGCAGTAAGTAGTGATTTGTGGTTTGAGACGGAATAATACCTTTGTATCCCTTTTGTATCCTGTGAAGGAAATGTGGCAGACAATTGAGGACATGTTGAACTTTTTAAAGATTGTTAAATTTCTGCCCTGTAGGTAAGTCTTTAGGGAATATTCTTGAATAATGATTAATTTGGGAGGGTCCAGTTTAGTGTGATTGTGCCACATCCCTTGGTAGATATCCCTGAACTTGCAAGAAAACAGGCTGAGCAAGCCATGAAGGAAAGCCAGTGAGCAGCATTCTTCCATGGTCTCTGCTTTGGTTCCTGCCTCTAGGCTCCTGCCTTGGCTTCTCGCAGTGATGGACCGAGATCTCTAAGTCAAATAAACCCCTTTTCCCAAGCTGCCTTTGGTCATGATGCTTATCACAGCAATAGAAAGCAAGGAGATAATTATCATCACCCTCTGAGGCAGAAGACTGGCCAAGATGACTCCAGGAGGGTACACCTTCAAGCTCAATGTCTATACTGTTTGAAGAAACCAAATTTAGATTCTTGTTCCTGTCCTACCAAGTCCTTCCTACACATTAAAGTTTAAGTACGGTTCAAATCTGAAGTGTCTCCTAGGGGCTCATACTTTGAATGCTTGTCCCCCAGCTTGTAGCACTGTGGTTTTCTTTGGGCGGGGGGTGGAGAGTATAGAGCCTTTTAAGGAGGTGAGCCTCTATCTGGTAGAAATAGTAAGTAAAGACAGGTTATAGCCAGCCCTTCCTCCTGTCATGCTCTGTTTTCTGATGATGTGAGCAGCCCCTACCTCTATGATGCTACGAAGCTTCGTCTGCAATTATGGACCAAAACCCTCACAAACTGTGAGCCAAACTATATCTTTTTAAATTGTTTCTCTTAGGTATTGCAGTTACAGCAACACAAAACCAACTGGTACAGAAAACGGGTGCCACAGAAGAGCCTGTTACTGTAATTAAATCTGGTCATGAGGTTCTTAGGCCTTTGGAACTGGCTTGTCGGAAGCATTTGGAAGATTTGGAGAAAGGAGTTTAAGAATCCCTAGAATGCTGTTTGCAGAGATTAATCGGTTGATGCTTGCAGGGCTGGAATGCTGATGATATTGTAGATAGTAAAAAGACTGTGCTCATAAGATTTCAGACGGGAACAAGGACTCTATCGGGAATTGGGCAACTGCCTTTTGGATACAGTGGGGAAACATTTTGTTTGCATCCTGCCTGTACCCTGAAATTTTAAGTGAGCCTGAATTAAAAAGTTTAATG